TGTCATTTACTTAGTATACAGCATTGTTCAAGTCACTGGCAAAGCTGTGCTAGTCTTTGGAGGATTGCTGCCAGACACTGAAATTAAAAAGATTGTTGATAAACCTATGAGTTGCTAATGCTCGAGTAATGAGCCTGATTATTTATACCCTATTGTAGTACAGGTAATAAACACTGAGGAACAGAATTTATTGGCTGAAATTTTTCACAGACTGTCTGCAAAAGCTTCAAAGCTATTTATGATAGAAAATAGGCAGGGAGCAATGAAGCATCAAAACCCAAGACCAACTGAATGCATTTCATCAATAAAATATTAAAAACGCTTTCCCTTCATTACAATTCTGCTATAGGCATCATATTTTGTCATGCTGTACTGTTGAATTAGCAGGCTAACTCCTAAATGAGTCAGATGCATTCCTCAGTTAGTAATCAATGGCTTGCCCTTCATCTACCTAAGCTTCCATGTCTGCTTGTATCTTGTTCTGTTACTTCTACTGGGCTAGCTCATATTGGCCTGCCTTCATGTATCTACTACTACATTCTGGGCCACTGTCATCATCTCTCTCTCTCTCTCTCTCTCTCTCTCTTAAGGGGATACCCTCAAATTCTACCCAGATAATACCATTTTGTAATGAACATCAGGGCAAACCAAAGGGGCCTTTGGGAACAGGATAAATCAAGTGTAGTTGCAACTTAAGTGCCAATCTGTTTACCGGGCTGACCCCCCAAACCCTGACCAGTCTTGTCATTGACCATACACATGTACAGAAGTCTGCCATCAGCATGACAAAGCTTTCATGTTTCCCAGCAGTTCACATACAAGCAAAGCTATTTGACATCATACTTTCTCCCCTTATTTGCTGCACATATCCCATTACTTTAAGAGTTATCACTTCCATTCCCCTGGTATCTCCCTCCAGCCTTTAAGCACCTTCCAGGGCACTCTCTGTTCACCCTTGCACATTTCTTCTCAAAGAGGATATCCATTCTTTTCTTTCAAGACATTCCTTCTTTTAAGTCTGTCTTGCCATTATTTGCCCCTCCTTGCTTCATTCTGTAATTAATTCTGTCCTATTCTTGTGTCTTCACCCTTTAAAACACCTCTTCTGTTCTACAGAAACACTTGGAGCCTTTTAACCCGTAAACGGTCCAAACGTATATATACGTTCACTACCGTACTGCCCCAACTTTTTTGAGGAAAAAAACATTGTTGTTTTTTAATAGGAAAAAAGAGCATATGGTACCCAGGCATCCCCAATTATTTTAATATGGTGCACAGTGAGTGCTCACATCCATTCTCACATGTCTAGGCGACTCAGGCTTATCGTGGCAATGTTAAATGAAGGACACATAAAACGTATATATACGTTTGGGGCACTAGCGGTAAAAATGTATATATATACGTTTGGACCATTTACGGGTTAAGGTTACCAAATATAGTGATGTCATAAGTGGTGAGCTTCAGTGAAAACTGGCTGTGTCCCTGCCATACAGTCCAACATTCCAAGCACTAGGCTATATATCACAACACTTTGACAGACTGGAGGGCTTCTCTGCTTTAAGTAATCCACAGTTCAGTGTGGTTCTAACCCTATAAAGGTATGTATATGGGGTAGGGGGTCTTAGAGGGTCTAGTAGCACAATGTTTTTTGGTGCTACTTCAGAGTGTGGTCTACCACAGTATTCGTAGTCTACGCTGTGAACCGACCTTTAATGTGCAGTCTACCTTTTATGTTATAATTTTTTTTACCTAACCTAACCTGGTTAGGTTAGGTAAGTTAGGTTAGGTGCGGTTAGGTAGACCGCACATTAAAGTGTAAATGAGCTGGTAGGCCACACGCTAAATTAGCACCTGTTTTTCTTGTTAGGGTTTCATGGACCACTAATGGCTTATGTTGATAGAGCTTTACCTCCCTGTGAGCGAGAAGGAAAATTGTCCATTCTGAGTGGAAAAGGAAAATGTGACTGGATTGCACCAAGTGTATTAGTGAGGTGCACCTAACATTACTGCTTAAATTGGTTCTTTGTAATGGTGTAGTTCACTCTGTATTCAGCACACATTATACAAAAACCACAATCCTGCAAGTTATCTTAGCCAACAGAAAGCACAGAGGACCCAAGACAACTAGAAATTAGTTGATGACCTAAACTGGTCTAGCCAACCATGAGTGTTTAGGTTGTCTTGATTGTTCAGAGGGAGGGTTGATTGCTGGGGCATTTACCTCAGTTACGAACATAGCCAGCCAGCCCCCTCTCAAAACCATTAGCGGGTTGCATAATACATAACAAAAACTTTTGGTGTAATCATGTTTGCAAAAAACTCCTATAATTTATACTTGATCGAACATTTAAATCACATGTTTTGATTTAAATTTATAATGTAGGGTTACATCCAATATGGTGATGAAATATACTTCTATAGTCAATTACAAATTTCTGCTGCCCCTTTTATTTTGTTTTTGTTTACTTTGTTTGCTGGCGGGGTTTATAACCCAACCTGGTGCTACAGACCTAAAAAAAAAATGTTTGTGATAGAAACCCTTTTTCAAAAATTTTATGCTGTTTTTGTGTCTTGCACAACTGGTAATGCGACCAGCCAATATTAGATTTTATATATCTTTTACCTGCATTCTTACCAATTTATCACAAATTCATTTGGGAACTGCTCATCTATTGATATTGAATATAGGCAGAAATTAACAGCTAAAAATTTCAGGGCTAAAGCACAAACCACTTCATGTTCATTAACTATAATACAATATGTTCCACCTAGGTGTTGACAACATGCATGATATAGTAACATGCTCGGGGGGGTTTTGGGGGGGGCAGTGTGCGGCAAGTATATGGGGTGCCCCTTCATTGCTCCCTACCTTGGTTTTTTGTAATGGGTATTCGTCTGTATTCGGCACACGCCCTACAAAACCACAAACCCGGTCTCTTAGCCAGCGAAAACACGTTGGCCCGAGCCAACTAGCAGTTTTCAACAACCTTTGCGGTTTAGCCAACCATAGTATTTTAAACATTTTTATTGTTCGCGAGGGGTTGGGTGACTGGGGCAGTACCTCCATAGGATCGTTTTAACCACCGACCTTTTTGAGCCTCTCTGGTTTTTCATCATACTTTTGATCTGAATCTTAACAAAGGTGTAAATTTCGTTTACAGTTTAGCCCATACTTCACTGCCAAAATCTTTGCCTCCATTCACCCAAGTCTGACGTTTGACTTGTATAATGTTATAGTGTGTAATACATTCTGGGATGAAATACAATACAGTTAAAACCAAAATTTCCCATGTCTGCTTTTTTTTGTCATTTTCTTATTCTAACTTCAACTGGGTTTATAGCCAACCTGATAGGGGGATCAACCCCCCAAACAGTTAAGAAACAAATGTTCCCAATCAGGGCAGGGGGACCTCCCCCTACACCAAGAGAAACAAACACCCACCCCACCTAGACGCAGCAGACTTCCCACTCCACAAATAAACTATCGGTAAAAAAAACAAAGTATGGGATCCTGATTATTAATTTCCCTGAGGCAAGAAAGGATTGAAAAAACATCCCAACAAAGGATTTTGGGGATCATTTTTACTGAAAATTGGGCAGATGAGACTTCCACAGCCCCGAAAGGTCGCACATAAGTCGTCCATACCTATAGACAAACCCCCGGGTTCCTGAGATGCCCCTTCATGGTGGGCAATGTAGACCAAAAAATGTACAAGGTTGAATTAATAAAGACCAAAAATGTACTGAAGACTGAAGTAAAGTGGACCATATGCTTCTGAAGGTCACAAGCACCAACAAGTACATTTCATGAATAATACACTAAAGAAAGCCTCTGACAAATTTCAACCGAATAACTTCACTTATAAAATGGAATAATTAAACTTTTATTTCACTAAATAAAGTGTATAAAGCAGTTAAGTTTAAGTTTGGGAAAAGAATTTATTACCTCATATAATGGTCTAAAAGGAGAACAAGAATTATATGTTGAATACTAAACTCCAGAACTACTGCATCATTCTCTCGCTTAAAACATACCATAATACTCCACTAAGACAAGTAATGTTTAACGTATATTTAGACATAACATTTAGAAAAGTTGGGGAAAAAATGGCTACGTTAGCTTTTGTTGACTTAATACACGACAAACACCCTTCAGTTATACAATAAACTTTACCTATAATAGAAGAGACGTATAAAGTGATGAGGGGCATCACATAATTATTTTTCGGGTGAGAAGGTAGCTAAATAAGCTGAAAAATATTGTAGTATGAGAGAGTTAGCTGCTCAGATCAACTTCTTCAACACAACACTAAACATCAACATACTCACTTCGTTAATATTTATGGCATACTCAAGTAGTGTAACTTTTCACTCTTTTTGTAGTTTTTATATATTTAAATACAGTTTTCAGATGATTGAATATAAATCTTGATATATTTTATATTTTATGAGAGCATACTTATAAATATTTACCATTATTATTAATAACTTCTGAAAAGCGTCTGCTAAACTGTATAAATTTTCTTAAAAATTACAGATAGAAAACATGGGATAAAATAACCATGGAAATCTATGAGTTATATTCATACATCTATCATATATAAAATTTAGAGGTCTCAATTATATATTTGCTGTGATCCAAGAAAATATTTTTCAGCAGACGACACTTTTGGTTGTATCCTAATCCAATCATTATATTTATGAATGTTGTAAGTAAGTAAGTAAGTTTATTCAGGCATACACAAATACAGTTACATGGATTATCAACATAACAGCATATGTGTAGAGAACCTGGGATAACCAAAAAAGTCAGACAGAGTGACTTATTCCTTCATTGTTAATAAATACTTTCACCATAAACTGTTTATATTATGCATTTTATATAAAAACTATGATTAATTTAGGGGTAAATTTGCAGTTAATACTGCATTCATGTATATATTTTTAATTTTATATTTGTTTTGATATTCCAATAACAAAGTCGGACAAGTGACTGTGACTTTGACTAAAGGTTGAGTATAAGCATCAGCATCTTACTCAGAAACCCAAATTAAGACAGAAAATTAATTAGTTAACCTATGATGTAATAAGGAAATAAGTGCCACTAAACTCTACGTATATTAATGTCAGACTTATAATGTTATAGACTCATTTTACTAGCACAAATGATCATCTGTGAGTGATGGTAAAATTTTAGGTATATAAGACATGAAAGTCGGTCAGTCAGGTCTTGTCTGTGATAAATTGTCTTTGTAAATGCATTGTGAATAATCTAAATCTGCAACACCATAGTTATAATGTCATCATCGTTTAGCTAATATGGAGATAAGTTCCTTTGGAAATCGCAACATTTTTTTTTTTTTTTTTTTTTTAGGGAATCGTGCATTATTTATTTTATAAAATACAATATTCATGCTGCCTGTATCATGGTGTCTCGATTAATCATTCACAGCCAGCATAAAAAAAAAGACGAAACGAATATGGACAAGAACATGCTAGTTCCACATATACCACTGGCAGAGTAAGGTTAAGTACATTGCCCGAAAAGGTTTGCATAATCATGGGCCTTCTGCATGCACAAGCAAATGTTACTCATCTCTGTACAAACATTGTATTGTGTGGAAATAAATCCGACTGATTAGGTTACATTAAGTTACATTAGGTTCCTGGGTGTTAGTAGACTGGTGTGGGGCGCATCCTGGGGGGAAAGATATTGAATTATCACAGTGGACATAAGACGGACAGTCCTCTATGACTACTCACTGACTTTCCTAGGTTATCATGAGTGGCTGCCCCTCTGGGTTAAAAATCTGAACAAATCTTATCTCATGGTTGGGTAGGTTATATTTCTAGTAAGTAAGTTTTATTCAGGTATACACAAATACAGTTACATAGAATTATCATACATAGCAGTATATGTGTAGAGAACCTAGGATAACCCAAAAAAGTCAGACACAGTGACTTATTTCCATTGGGGTCCTGAACACCATAAAAAATGTATATGATTAAACCAAGTTAACATTGGACATTTCTTAAGACATAAATTATCATTACGCCTGTACAAAAGACCAGATCTCCATAATTGCTAGTAGTTTTATAATTGTAATTTATACAGATGAAATGCCAGAACTCACACCCAATATCTGGTGGTCAGTGGCAGTACCAGGGGGGGGACGGGGGCTTCAACCCCCCAAAAGCCCACTAAATAAAATAGTTCTTGCTTTTCTACCATTTTAAATTTAAAACTTTTATTGATTTTTTTTTAATACAGGGTTGTGTAACTATCTCCACAGTACCATAAAGTATGTTTTAATATCATGCCCGAGCATGATAGTGGCTTTCTTTGTACTTAAACAAATCAAAATTGTAAATACACATTGTTACCTTGCAAAGAAATAAATTCTTTATCTTTATCTTTTATATCACACTTTTTCCTGGCCTTGGTGAGGCATGTTTGTCTCAGTATGTTCTGGGTATTGGTGATAAGCATCACTTTTATAGAGAATAAAAAGACCAGAGGCATAGATAGGATTTGTGTCACCTGGGGCAGAATCTTTGGTGTCACCCCCATGAAATCCACGGATGGGGGGGTGAACTCCAGTTATGCCACTGCTGCATGACCAGTGACTAATGTTTAGCTATGAGAACGTTTAAAGGCCATAAACTGAACTTTATTAATGATAAAATAAATAATGTTAGTAATATTGAGGAAACATAAACTCAAATACCACTTTGAGTACAGGCAACAGGTCCTCTCCAAGATACGATACTACGTGCCGCAAAATGCCCTTCTCACTCTATACCACTCACTTATTTATCCATACCTCACCTATGCTATTTGTGCTTGGGGATCAACTGCAGCAACACACCTAAAGCCAATAATAACCCAACAAAAAGCTGCAGTAAGAATAATCACTAAATCCCATCCCTGGCAACACCCCCCCCCCACTCTTCATAGATCTAAACTTACTCCCTTTCAGTACATCCACACTTACTACTGTGCAATCTACATCTACAGGACCTTAAACTCCAATATCAACCTTGACCTAAATGCTTCTTGATAGTTGTGACAGAACCCACAGGCATAACACCAGACACAAACATCTCTACGACATTCCCCGTGTCTGACTAAACCTTTACAAAAATTCAATGTATGTCAAAGGCCCTAAAATCTGGAGCACCCTACCTGAGAACTCTAGAACTGCAGACACATTCATCACCTTCAAAACTACCATTAGAAAACATCTTATCTCCCTGATACACCCCGTCAACTAACTACACGAATACCACCTGGTGGTTCACACTTACACTCACTCACCCATTTGACCATAAACAGAAATATTAATCTCAATCTTAAAATAATGAATCCTGTATACTCCAATACTGAAACTATGTACTGTGCCAAAACAAAAGCATTCACATTGCTAAACTCACAAACTAGTATTTAGTCACTTAGCCATAATACCAACTTACCTCATAATTTGTAATATTTTAAAATTAAGAATTAAACTAAGTCTGCCTGAAATGCCTAGCCATGCTAGGTGTTCTAGTGGTACACTCTGTAATCATTATTTTACTACATGTAAACTACACAATAACCAAATTCTGTAAACTCAGCATTGTAATCCCTATAGAGAATAAACTTTGAATTGAATTGAATTGAATTGAATACATTTATTCATCTTAAACAGTGCAAAAAAAAAAACTTGAAAAATAAAGCCCATGATGACACTCTTCAGGTCACTTGTTCTATCTAGGCTGGAATATTGCTGCACTCTAACAGCACCTTTCAAGGCAGGTGAAATTGCCGACCTAGAAAATGTACAGAGAACTTTCACGGTGCGCATAACGGAGATAAAACACCTCAATTACTGGGAGCGCTTGAGGTTTCTAAACCTGTATTCCCTGGAACGCAGGAGGAGAGATACATGATTATATACACCTGGAAAATCCTAGAGGGACTAGTACCGAACTTGCACACGAAAATCACTCACTACGAAAGCAAAAGACTTGGCAGACGATGCACCATCCCCCCAATGAAAAGCAGGGGTGTCACTAGCACGTTAAGAGACCATACAATAAGTGTCAGGGGCCCGAGACTGTTCAACTGCCTCCCAGCACACATAAGGGGGATTACCAACAGACCCCTGGCAGTCTTCAAGCTGGCACTGGACAAGCACCTAAAGTCAGTTCATGATCAGCCGGGCTGTGGCTCGTACGTTGGTTTGCGTGCAGCCAGCAGCAACAGCCTGGTTGATCAGGCGCTGATCCACCAGGAGGCCTGGTCACAGACCGGGCCGCGGGGGCGTTGACCCCCGAAACTCTCTCCAGGTAAACTCCAGGTAAACACTAGTTCCAATTTAACCTTGAGTACAGGTAACATCTCAAAGAATCTGATATTTCATTTCCTTGCCTTCAATCCTGCAAAATCATCTATCACATCATCAAAATCAGTGATTTTCCCTATATAAGCCTATTTGTTCTCTGTAATCCTATAATAGGCTATATTGAAACAAAGGATTTTTCTCTTAGGATGCTGCAGCATGGTTTTTGGTCATTAGTGTTACCGTCTTTAGAGGCTTTATGGTGTCACCCACTAAATGGTGTCACCCGGGTGCCCCCCCCTTACGACGACCCTGAAAAAGACATCATATCATGACTTGAACAATACAGTTTTATAGCTCTAGTGAGATAGTCACTGACCCAGATGAGTTGTAGGTATCTTGCTTGGCCCAGGTTTCCAACAGCATTGGTCTGTCATGTGTCCGTGAAGTTATCTCTTTTCTTATTGCAAAACTAGGGATGCCAAGCCCATGATGACACTCTTCAAATTGCTCATTCTCTCTAGCCTGGAATACTGCTGTACACTAACGGCCCCCTTCAAGTCTGGCGACATTGCAGACCTGGAGAGCATACAAAAAACTTTCACAGCACACATAAATACGATAAGGCACCTAAATTACTGGGAACAGTTGAAGGTCCTTGGTCTGTGTTCCCTGGAACGCAGGCAAGAGAGATACATAATAATATATGCTTGGAAAATCAGAGCATGATATAGCATATGTAGTGCTTACCCTTAACAGCAGCCCTGATCCACATTACATTTTATGCAGTCACCTTAAACAAGTGATAACAGAAGCAGTATAACCACAAGAGAGGTTTTCCTTGTAGGATGCCTTTGTAGACACACCTAGCTGGGCTGAACTCCACTCCTGTCCACTATTGCAAGTTCTTGAAAAAGTGTTGGCTGCAACACAAAAGGCCTAGAGCTATCACTCAACCCCTTCTGGTTATTTTGCATTACATTTTATATATACAGATGCTCCTCACTTTACAATGGTTCACCTTATGATAATTTGACATTAGGATGTTGCAATAGCAATGCACATTCTGTACTGTACAGCAGTGTGCGTATATTAATAGGATAAACTTGTACATGTATTCAGTTATTTACTTTTCAATATTTTTTTTTTTTATTATCACACTGGCCGATAACCACCAAGGCAGGGTGGCCCGAAAAAGAAAAACTTTCACCATCATTCACTCCATCACTGTCTTGCCAGAAGGGTGCTTTACACTACAGTTTTTAAACTGCAACATTAACACCCCTCCTTCAGAGTGCAGGCACTGTACTTCCCATCTCCAGGACTCAAGTCCGGCCTGCCGGTTTCCCTGAACCCCTTCATAAATGTTACTTTGCTCACACTCCAACAGCACGTCAAGTATTAAAAACCATTTGTCTCCATTCACTCCTATCAAACACGCTCACTCATGCCTGCTGGAAGTCCAAGCCCCTCGCACACAGAACCTCCTTTACCCCCTCTCTCCAACCTTTCCTAGGCCGACCATTACCCTGCCTTCCTTCCACTACAGACTCATACACTCTTGAAGTCATTCTGTTTCGCTCCATTCTCTCTACATGTCCGAACCACCTCAACAACCCTTCCTCAGCCCTCTGGACAACAGTTTTGGTAATCCCGCACCTCCTCCTAACTTCCAAACTACGAATTCTCTGCATTATATTCACACCACACATTGCCCTCAGACATGACATCTCCACTGCCTCAGCCTTCTCCTCACTGCAACATTCATCACCCATGCTTCACACCCATATAAGAGCGTTGGTAAAACTATACTCTCATACATTCCCCTCTTTGCCTCCAAGGACAAAGTTCTTTGTCTCCACAGACTCCTAAGTGCACCACTCACTCTCTTCCCCTCATCAATTCTATGATTCACCTCATTTTTCATAGACCCATCCGCTGACACGTCCACTCCCAAATATCTGAATACATTTTACCTCCTCCATACTCTCTCCCTCCAATCTGATATTCAATCTTTCATCACCTAATCTTTTTGTTATCCTCATAACCTTACTCTTTCCTGTATTCACCTTTAATTTCTTCTTTTGCACACCCCTACCAAATTCATCCACCAATCTCTGCAACTTCTCTTCAGAATCTCCCAAGAGCACAGTGTCATCAGCAAAGAGCAGCTGTGACAACTCCCACTTTGTGTGTGATTCTTTATCTTTTAACTCCATGCCTCTTGCCAAGACCCTCGCATTTACTTCTCTTACAACCCCATCTATAAATATATTAAACAACCACGGTGACATCACACATCCTTGTCTAAGGCCTACTTTTACTGGGAAATAATTTCCCTCTTTCCTACATACTCTAACTTGAGCCTCAGTATCCTCGTAAAAACTCTTCACTGCTTTCAGTAACCTACCTCCTACACCATACACTTGCAACATCTGCCACATTGCCCCCCTATCCACCCTGTCATACGCCTTTTCCAAATCCATAAATGCCACAATGACCTCTTTAGCCTTATCTAAATATATGTTTCACTGTAAACACCTGGTCCACACACCCCCTACCTTTCCTAAAGCCTCCTTGCTCATCTGCTATCCTATTCTCCGTCTTACTCTTAATTCTTTCAATAATAACTCTACCATACACTTTACCAGGTATACTCAGCAGACTTATCCCCCTATAATTTTTGCACTCTCTTTTATCCCCTTTGCCTTTATACAAAGGAACTATGCATGCTCTCTGCCAATCCCTAGGTACCTTACTCTCTTCCATACATTTATTAAATAATTGCACCAACCACTCCAAAACTATATCCCCACCTGCTTTTAACATTTCTATCTTTATCCCATCAATCCCGGCTGCCTTACCCCCTTTCATTTTACCTACTGCCTCACGAACTTCCCCCACACTCACAACTGGCTCTTCCTCACTCCTACAAGATGTTATTCCTCCTTGTCCTATACACGAAATCACAGCTTCCCTATCTTCATCAACATTTAACAATTCCTCAAAATATTCCCTCCATCTTCCCAATACCTCTAACTCTCCATTTAATAACTCTCCTCTCCTATTTTTAACTGGCAAATCCATTGTTTTCTAGGCTTCCTTAACTTCTTAATCTCACTCCAAAACTTTTTCTTATTTTCAACAAAATTTGTTGATAACATCTCACCCACTCTTTCATTTGCTCTCTTTTTACATTGCTTCACCACTCAATACTAGTATTTAATTAATTACAGTAATTATTTGTTTATTTACTTATTCAGTGACAATAGTTATGTATTTATTTGCTTATTTATTTATCATAATTTATATTCGACCTACAATATTTTCAGCTTACAATGTGTTCTTCAGAACATAGCCCCATCATAAGTTGAGGAGCACTTAGTACTGTACAGTACTTAAAAAATGTTCAAAACCATTTGCATTTATAGTACATTTAATGATTTGTTGCATCTTTATTTTTTGACTTGTTAAACTAGATCTCAAAATGGGTGACTCTGCTGCAGCCTCACTCCTAGCAGAAAGTACATCCCTAGCAACCAGCACCCTAGAGCGAGCCACCCTCACTGCTCGATCTACTACTCACACAACCAGGTAAGTCACCTGGTATTGTTTATTCTTTACTTCCTTACTATACAACAGTTGCCTCATCATTAGTCAGTAAATTGCTGCTTGCCTGTGCCACACTGTTTGTGTAAAATGAAATACTGTAATGTAAATACATACATAAAACATTTTTGTTAATAATTTAAAGCAATATAAACTATTTACAGAACAGTATCTAGGTACTTATGTTGGATAAGATACAGGGTAAGTGTTTCCTGACACGGGTATTAGTCACACGATGACCAGCCACTGGAGCTTTTGGTCATGTGACCGAGGCCTTCCACTGGCTTACTGGTCCAGCCCTTTAAAAATTTAGATAATTCTAGGTACTTAACCCATCCCATTCAGTTTACAGTTTTATTATTTTAATTAAATACTAATTTTAAATGATTCTTAATTACAAATACTAGAAGGAGATAGGTATATTTGATGTACATATCTCATCACATTCCATTTTAAATTTTGGAACATTTATTATTAATTTGACTCCTTTTTTTCATGCTGCATTAATTTCACAAGATTCAAAATCACATGTTTATTTGCATAAAAATGTAGGTAAAGATATATGATAAATTTCTAGAGTTCATAACCTTCCTAGGAGGTGCTTTGATACTGATAAAGGGTTCTTGATCTAATTAATTGAAACTACTGTTCCCTTCACTTCCTTCAGACTAACCTAATTACCTTCCACACTCCAAGTACTGTATGACTCCCTATGGGTTTAGGGCTTCCCCTTTAATATAATAACACAACTCAGCATGCAGAATTTCACTCAAATCTTAATCTAACAGTAATAATAATAATAATAATAATAATAATAATAATAATAATAATAATAATAATAATAATATAATATCTTTATTTACTACAAGTACATGTACATGGTATACAGGCCTAGCTGACATCAGTGACATACTACTAAATAGAAAACCGCTTGTTATGCTGAGCATTTCAGGCAAATTAGGACAGTTTTGTCCCAGGATGTGACCCACACCAGTCAACTAACACCCAGGTACCTATTTTAAGTCTTAAACTGTCCAAACATAGATCTACGTTCACTCGCGTGGCACTCCGAATACAGTGGACCCTCGACTAACGCTATTAATCCGTTCCTGAGAGCTCATCGTTAGTCAAAATAATCGTTAGTCAAGTTAATTTTCCCCATAAGAAATAATGGAAATCAAATTAATCCGTGCAAGACACCCAAAAGTATTGAAAAAAAAAAATTTTAACACATGAAATATTAATTTTAATACACACAAACTGAAGAAGACATGCACAGTTACATGACACTTACCTTTATTGAAGATCTGGTGATGATTGATGGGATGGTAAGAGGGGAGTGTGTTGATGGTCTTAGTGTTTAGAAGGGGAATCCCCTTCCATTAGGACTTGAGGTGGCAAGTCCTTTTTCGGGGTTACTTCCTTTCTTCTTTTAATGCCACTAGGACCAGCTTGAGAGTCACTGGACCTCTGTCGCACAACATATCTGCCCATAGAGGCCTGTACCTCCCGTTCCTTTATGACATTCCTAAAGTGTTTCACAACATTGTCAGTGTCACCATTAAACACTTGTTCAGGTTTCAGTCCTTCACTGTCTATGTACTCCTTGAATTCCTGCACATATTTTTCAGCTGCTTTTTGGTCCAAACTGGCAGCCTCACCATGCCTTATCACACTATGTATGCCACTACGATTCTTAAATCTCTCAAACCAACCTTTGCTGGCCTTAAATTCACTCACATCACCACTAGTTGCTGGCATTTTTCTAATTAAATCGTCATGCAACTTCCTAGCCTTTTCACATATGATCGCTTGAGAGATGCTATCTCCTGCTATCTGTTTTTCGTTTATCCATACCAATAACAGTCTCTCAACATCTTCTATCACTTGCGACCTCAGTTTCGAAAACATAGTTGCACCTTTGGCAAGAACAGCTTCCTTGATTGCCGTTTTCTTGCCACAATAGTAGCGATGGTTGATTGGGGTTTTGTGTACAGCCTGGCCAGCTCGGAGACATGCACTCCACTTTCATACTTAGCAATGATCTCTTTCTTCATATCCATAGTAATTCTCACCCTTTTTGCTGTAGGGTTGGCACTAGAAGCTTTCTTGGGGCCCATGGTGACTTATTTTGCAGGTGCAATCACTAAAAAGGCTGTGATAATATGAAATGTTCCGATTGTATGCTTGGAAGCGACCGCGGTGGCTGGCTGGCTTGTAAACACTGGCCAGAAGTGGATGCGTCTCAGACGGAATGAATAGTGTTGGTTGAGTTTTTTAGCGCTAATCGAGGCAAAATTTTTGCGATAAAATGTATCACTAGTCAGATTTATCATTAATCGATGCCATCGCTGGTCGAGGATCCACTGTATTTTGAAAAATAAAAAAAAAAAAATTTCTTTTAAAATGAAAAGCACATTTTTCTACATGTTATAGGATTAATAAAAAAAATTTAGGGTTAGTACTTACCAAGATATAAGACTGTGAAGTTGGCTCTGGATGCTCACCTGTTGGCAACATCGACTCCTGCCGCTTGCAGAAGTGTTGCCAATATACCTTTTTTTCTCATTTTTAATTTATATGTTTTTTATGTTCTGACACTAATATTAGGTACTGAAATAGTGCTCATATAGTCACAATCACATTGATAGGTGAACATTTACACCTGCTGGGTTATTTACTATTGTCTAGAAATATATACAGAGTATTTATAGGTCCCAGCGATGTTTTAGATACCCTGGCATATACCTTGAAGCATGTTGTTATGAAAGGCATCCCTATACTGTTGACAGCTCAGTGACATTTGATAAATGCCCACTGCTCCAGCTAACCCTTGCTGTATTTGTTATCACTGTTACACACAAACATGTCTTCTCTCTCAGTCTATTTAAATGTCTGTCTATCTGCCTGTCTGTCTGCCTGTCTATCTGTCTCTGTCTATCTGCCTGCCTGTCTGTGTCTGTCTCTGCTTATCTGTCTTTCTGTCTGCCTGGAGTATATGTATATCACACTCCTTGAATAATCATGTTATGACATCTGTTATCAACTCGGTGACATTTGATAAATGGGTGTTGGGGGAACCCTGGCTTTATTTGTTTTCACTGATACACACAAACATGCTTCTGTCTGTCTGTCTATCTATCTATCTATCTATCTATCTATCTGTGTGTCTATTTATCTGCCTATATCTGTCTATCTTTGCCTATAATTTTTGGATTATCCTAGGTAATTTACACTATGTATAATAACTGTACTTATGTGTACGTGTGAGAGAGAGATATAGATAGACAGAGATATAGACAGATAGAGATATAGATGGACAGAGATATAGACAGATAGAGATATAGACAGAGAGACAGCCAGAGACAGCCAAAGCAAGCCAGCCGGCAAGCCTGCCGAATACATAAGAGCATAAGAAGGAAGGAACACTGCAACAGGCCTACTGGCCCATGCAAGGCAGGTACATGTCACCCTCCCCCCCCCCAGCTTAGACCAATGACCCACCTAGTCAGGTCACATCCATTGAAGGAAGGAGCATGACATCAGACCTAGTAGCACAAGCTAGTCAGGTCCAACTCACACCCATCCACACTCACTCATGTATTTATCTAACCTATTTTTACTTCCCTCTTAAAATGGGAGTATTACGCATCCAAATGTAGATCTACGTTTGGACAGTTAAAGGGTTAAATTGATGGGTAAACAGGGACAGGGACAGCAGGTGTGTTATGGTAAACACGTTCCTGATGTTTTCCAGCCATATTGGAGGAGATTCGAACTCCGGACCTCAGTGTGTGAGCTGAATGTGCTAGTGCACTATACTGTATTAGAGTAGTATAGTAATTATAATGCAACAAATATTGTTTGAACACATAAAGAAAATATAAAATTCTCAGTACAAATAAAAAAAAACAATATTTCATGATATACAGCATAGTATATGTGTACAAAATTGTTATAATACTAAATACACGTATTTTTAACATATCTAGGTAGTAGCTTGGTAGACAGCAACCACCCAGGGAGTACTACCGTCCTGCCAAGTGAATGTAAAACGAAAGCCTGTAATTGTTTTACGTGATGGTAGGATTGCTGGTGTCCTTTTTTCTGTCTCTTAAACATGCAAGATTTCAGGTACATCTTGCTACTTCTATTGACACTTAGGTCACACTACACATACATGTACAAGCATATATATACACACCCCTCTGGGTTTTCTTCTATTTTCTTTTTAGTTCTTGTTCATGTTTATTTCCTCTTATCTCCATGGGGAAGTGGAACAGAATTCTTCCTCTGTAAGCCATGCATGTTGTAAGAGGTGACTAAAATGCCAGGAGCAAGGGCCTAGTAACCCCTTCTCCTGTATAAATTACTAAATTTAAAAAGAGAACCTTTTGTTTTTCTTTTTGGGCCACCCTGCCTAGGTGGGATACAGCCTGTTTGTTGAAAGAAAGATTTTTAACATACTGTATCTTTAAATTAAAGTCACATAAAAATACTAATAAAATTTCAAGTCTGTTCTGTAATGATGAAAATGTAACATTGCATTTGACTATGATAAAAGAAGATTAGAATGGTAGGAGAAGGTACTAACAGTAAGATATTTTTAGTACAGTAATAGAGATAATGTAAAAATTTGTCAGTAAAATTAATAATAAAATAAAAACAGGACATAGCACCTTATAAGAAAAGTGTTAACAAATACAGTGGTCCCCCGCTTTTCGTAGTTCCCGGCAATCGTAAAATTCGCCAATCATAGGGGTATTTTCGTATAAACACGGACTCGCTTTTCATAGGTTGACTCGCGAGTCGTAGTTCGTCCGGGATGCGTACGCACAGCGTGGGCCAGGGCAGCAGCCAGTCTGGCATTGTTTACCAGTGAGCGAAGGTCCCCTCGCGTGCTCCAGCAAAATATTTCATAATATTCCATTTATTTTAGTGCTTGCAAGTACTAAATAAGCTACCATGGCTCCAAAGAAAGCTCCTAGTGCCAAGCCTGTGGTAAAGAAGGCGAGAAATACAATTGAATTTAAGAAAACCATCAGTTTCCATCATTGAACAATATGAAAGTGGTACAAGTGTGGCCGAACTGTCCAGGATGTATAAGAAACCCTACACAACCTTATGTTCCATAGTGGCCAAGAAAAATGAAATAAAGGATGCTGTTGTTGCAAAGGGAGTAACTATGCTGACAAAAATGAGATCACCAGTACTGGAAGAGGTTGAGAAGTTATTATTGGTGTGGATAAATGAGAAACAATTAGCAGGAGATACTCTTATGACTTTGTTTATTTGCGAAGAGCAACACATCGCAGCTCAGAATCTTGCTGCAGAGGAGGAGGAAGAGAGATGGAAGAAGGTGCCTTCTTCAGAAATTAAAGAGATTTTTACTATGTGGGGTAAGATGGAAAGCTTGATTTGAGAAACATCACCCTGACAAGGTTGTTGTAAGCCAGGTTGGCAACATGTACAGTGACAAAGTCTTGGGCCATTTTAGGGAAGTGTTAAAGAGATGCCAGAAACAGAGCTCTCTCCACAGTTATTTTGTGAGACAGGACTCCAGTGACTCTCAAGGTGGTCCTAGTGGCATTAAGAAACAGAGAAGAGAAGCAACCCCAGAAAAGCAAATGGTACCTGAGGTGTTGATGGAAGGGGATTCCCCTTCCAAACTATAAACAATCCACTCTCTCTCCTCCCCCCATTTCCCCCATACATAAAAAGAACTCCAATAAAGGTAAGTGTTATGCGTTAATGTTTCATTCATCTTTTCCCCATTGTATGTTTATGTAGAATGTATATTTCATTTTAAAAAAAATTTTTTGTTTTAATATTTTTTCTGGTTCGGGAAAACGGATTAATTGTATTTACATTATTTTTAGGGGGAAAAATTGATTCGATTCGAAAATTTCGTTTATAGTAATGGCCCCAGGAACGGATTAATTCGAACAACGAGGGACCCTGTACGAATGTTATTTAATTGTAATTAAATTAACATAATAAGGGGGGGAATACAGTATTTACTCTTTAATTTTCAGAATTATTGTAACTTAATTTATTATTGAACTGACTTTAAAAAAAAAAAAATTATTTTTCATTTTTTTATAGAAAATTCAACAAATTTAAAATAGTGGTTATAATTAAAGTGGTGTACTTCGAGTTATGAACTTAATTTTTCCAGAAGGTTTTTCCCAAGTCCCGAATAAAACAATTTGTTCTCATAAGGAATATGTAAATTAGATTAGTTCGTTTCAGGCCCCAAAAATAGTTTACAAAAGCATTAAAAAAATCATTTACGTTTTGTTCAAGGGGGAGCTTTTCACAACTTGAGGCCCACTGTATATTGGCATCTAAGTTAACTTTTTAAATTTATACTTTTTTCTTTTTATGGGCTGTTTTTTAAAAAAAACTCTTCTCCCCCCAACCCGGCTTACTTTGACCTGTAAACAGTGAGCACATAAAATATCAAACTGGATAGGGCAACAAACTTCTCTCAATTAACAAAACCTACTTCATTTTTTTGGAAACAGATCATTAAACATCCTGCTAAGCATATTGATAAAATGGTTCCCCCTTACAAGACACATTGAGGGCAAATTTTAGGGTTCCCCCTTGACTATACATATTATTATGGGGTTTTAAATTTTTTAAAACCCACATCCAGCATATACCAAAGAAATTTCCCAAACATAGGTATCCTTTTCCCAAAGATCGATACTCGTCCCCCAAAAGGGCACTCCTTTTTTATATCATCTCTAATATACCTTACCTCACCTAGGGTATTTGTATTTGGGGGATCTACATGCCGTCCCCTTTAAAACTTTAATAACCCAAAAAAATGCGATGATCATGAACTCCAGTCCCCAAAACATTACACCCCACCACTTTAAAAGCTTGAATTACTTAATAACAAAATATATACATTTATCGATCCCCACTCAAACTTCCTTAGACAGTTTCACAGAAAAACAGGCATAACACGAGGCACAAAAATTTTTTTGACACCCTCGTGGCAAAAATGCAATGCACAAAAAGGGCCCTAAAGATCTGTTTCCCCAAAAAGCAAGAGGCCCCCTGCCCACAATCATTTGGGATACTGTACACAAAAAAATCACCTCATCTCTCACAAAAAATAATAGGGTAAAACTTAATTAAAAATTTAAAAAATATTTTTTGTATAAAAAAAATTTGTAACCTCATATTAAAATAGAAAAAAATATTAAATGTTTGTAATTACTACTTCACCTTCTAGCTTAACCCTTGACTGTCGCAACCCCCAATCCTGAGGTGTCCCCCTGGGTCGCAAATTTTTAAAAAAAAAAAAATATTTTTTTTTTCTTTAAAAATTATAGAAAATTTTTTTTCCCCGATTTTAATGACCCCAAAAAAAAACAAAATTTTTGATGGAAAATGAGGGGAATTTATGTTTGCGAAGTTGGACCCGGCGATATTTCAAATCGGCGATTTCGCCCACTTTGAGCCCTATTTTGGAAATTTCCCGTTTTTTTCCAGTCCCAAAACTCTGCTTTTCTTTGAACCCCATTTTTTCTATCGATTGAGTACAAGAAAGCCCATTTACCGATTTAAAACCCCCAATAATGTGGTCAGAAATTTGAAATTTTGGGCCCATTTCAGAAAATTAAAAAAAATATAAAATTTCAAAAAGGCCCGAATGAACAAGCAGACACCCTGGCTCTAAAATAAATTTTCTTTTTTCTCAGTCATGCCCCGGGCCCCCTCTGATATTACTCTTTTTTTTAATTTTAAATTTTTTATTCAAACAAAAAATAGAAGATTTACTATTATCAGACAAACGCAATACTGTAATAATTGTTAAAAAATCAACCCTTCATGAGCATATTAGAATGGCTAGTTGGGCATTATTAGACAATGAATCATTTGTTTATTTTGAAAAGGCAAAAATCAAAACTTTTCCCCATTTGAGTCATTTCCGGGTTCTTTTTAGTAAAATAAATAAAAAATCACCTCTTTTTCATAATATGTTTTCCATTCTATAAAAATTGGACCAAGAAAACGGAATGAAACCCACAAATTCTATACAAAATAGACCCAAAGTTGGCCATTTTAATTAAAAAAGGTCGGAGATTTTTTTTTCTCATTATGCACTCGTGCTCCGGGGATTTTTTCCCTATGGGCACACTGACCACACAGACCCTTTCTCTCACTTGGGGCCTCCAGCTTTCTCCTGTTGTTTTTTGAAGCCGCTAGAATTTGAGAATATATACATGAAACCGATCCCCTCTAAGAGTGTTATATACGGCCGCGCGTCAAAGGGTTAAGCAGCTTTAAGTTTTGGTTAAATCTCCCTGAAATCCCTGGGCATGATAGGGGCCCTTTTTTTTTGTCCAATAAATTTATGAAATGAAAACATACATTATAACCTTATCAAAGAAATAAATTTTGTTTTTATTTGATTTGTTTGATATGTATATGTTTAAATAAAAATACTATAATGTATTAGCTTCTTTAGGGACATGTGAAAAAAAAAAATGCTGTATGCAGGGATTTTTAAAATTTGTTGTGTGAATTTTGTATAATTTTTAAAAATTTTTATTTAAATTTAAATTTAACATTGAGATTTATAAGTATTTTCCCAAAAAGGAAAAAAATTACAAACATTTTGATAGGTTGAAAAATTGGACATTTATCAAAATAGGGGAATTTTCATTGAAAAACGTTTCGCCAACAGTGGCTTTATCAGTCTTATACAAAGCAAGAAGGTATAAGGAGAGGAGGATTTTGAGGTAATCAGCCCCTAAACCCTGGAGTGATGTGTTCAGTCCATCAATCTTGTAGAAAGCACAGCACAGGGCCATAGCAGTGGCTTATATACTGTAGTAGTGAGGTGAAGGGGAGGGGGCGGGGTTATATGGAAACCCATCCCTAGTCTAAGTATGTTTTTCGCCCAAAGTTGGAAATTTTTGAAGAATTCTTTAAATACCTTGATACCCTTTTACTATTCCTAATATATAATGTGTATAATATGTATTATATATATATATTTTTTTTTTTTTTTTCAACAAGTGGGTCGTCACCATTGTATTTACAGAGACTTTTGGCCAAAATCTTTGTATAGTGCTATATTCAAAATTATTACCTCCATTTTTTAACACAGCTGTGATCGAGAAACAACTCCAAAACGAAGCGAAGCTCACCTGGTGAAAGCGGTTTTTTCTGGGGCCAGTTTGTCTACTATACTTGCATCGGGAAAAACTTACCCCCTCACTTTCTTTTGCCATGGGTGTTTCTGGACTCGGTTATGGGGATGGAAAAGTATTGGGCTTTCCCGGAACTCAGTAAAGTAGCTAACAAAAGAACCCTAAAAAAACTGCCTTTCAGTGTTAATTAAAAATGAAAAATATTTGTGAGTACCTTATAAAACCAGTTTCTAAAGCTTTCTATTTCTTGAAACCCTGGCCTGGGACAAGCTTTTGGTGGCTTCGGGCACCCACATCATGTAGTTCATAAACTCTGCTAAAGGTCATGTTTATAGAATAACTGCACTACTACTATTCTGTAATTTCTCACTTTTTTTTCTTTAAATTTGGGGGGGAGGGAGGGGGAAAGTGGGGAGAAAGTTTGTGGGAGGGGAAGGGAAAAAAAAAACCAGGTGGGCAAAAAGGGAAAAAGGGGGAAAAGAAAAAACTAAAAAAAAGAAAAAAAAAAAAAAAACCAAAAAAAAAAAAAAAAAAAAAAAAAAAAAAAAGAATTTTTTACTTTTTTTTTTTCCAAAAAATTTAAAAATATTTAAATTTTATGTTTTGAAATGGGTTAGCACAAAGTTTGGAACATATTTTTAAGTTTTTTCAATTCTAAATCACCTTTTTAGTGAATTGATTTTTAAACTATGTATAAAATAACTTTTTTTTGACCTAATAAATTTTTTACTTTGTTAATTTTTTTCAAGAACTTTGTCTAAATAAAATTTCAATCCGGGGGGGGGGGTTTGGGGGGGGGGGGGGGGGGAATAAAAAATAATTAAAAATTTTTTTTAATAAAAGGGAAAAATTTTTTATTTGGTAAAAATTAAAAAGGGAAAAAAGGAAAAATTTTTTTTATTGGTTGAAAAGAGGAGGAAAAAAAATGGGGGAGGGGTAAAAATTTTAAGAATTTGGGGGGTTATTAATTTTTAATTTTAAGTTAAATTTTTTTGGTTTTGGGTTTATTGATTTGGTAATTTTTATTTAGATTATTTTTGGGGTTTTTAAATTTATATGAAATTTTATTTTTTTAAATTAAAAAATTTTAGGTCTCGTTTGGGCCAACATTTACAAAAAGGGTTGTTTTACGTACTTGTACACCATTTTCTCCAAGGACAATACACCTTTTGGCCCCCCCTTTTTTTTATTTTTTTTTTTTTTTTTTAAAATCGGGCCCTCCCAACGGGGGCAGGGTGCCCCAAAAAGAAAGAAAAAATCCAAAAAGAAAATACTTTCATCATCTTTCCATTTTCACCCATCCCCAAAAATCACTGTTTTTGAAAGGGTGCTCAGAAACAACGTTTAGAAATTATTATAAAGAACACAACATACCCTCCAAACTGCAATATCCCCCCCCTCCTTTAAGTGCAGGCATTGTACTTTCCTTTTCCCAGGCTCAAGTCGGTTATAAAAATAACCGGTTTCCTGAACCCCTTTCACAAAAATTACCTGCCAACCCAAACGACTTTGGGCCCAAAATACCATTCTTTTCTAAATTCATCTTCGAACACCCCTTTTGCAAAAACCCCTTTTCCTTCCAATTTTTTTGGGAGCCCCCACCCCCTTCCTTCCCTAGATTATAGCTTCCCCCATGTCATTCTACTTTAAATCCATTCTCTCTAAATGCCCAAAACCCCAACAACCCCTCTTCGCCTTGACAATCTTTTTTTAAAACCCACACCTCCAAAATTTCCACACCCAAATTTTTTGCAAATATTACCCCACACATTGCCCTTAGACAGGACATCCCCACTCCCTCCAACGCTCCTCGCTGCTTTCATTACACCCAAGTTCACACCCTATGGGTGTTGGTATACATATTTTACATTCCCCTTTTTGCCTCCAAGATAACGTTTTTTGCTCCACATATACCTCAACGGCCACCACCTTTTTTCCCTCACAATTCAATGATTAACCTTTTTTTTTTTTTTAAAATCCGCCCCCCGAAGGGGGAACCCAAAAAAAAAAAAATCCCAAAAAAAATTTTCTTTTCAAACTCCTTTTCCCCAATTTTAACCATTTTTCCCTTTTTTCAGATCTAAAACACATTTAAAGCATATTTTATAAAATCCAACTATCCCCTAACTGCCAATTCCCTAACCCCCTCCCAAAGTCGGAATTTTTATTCCCATTTTCCCTTCCCCACAATGAAAAAAAATTTTTTAAACCCTTCATAAATATTTACCCTGTACCTACAAATCCGGGCCCAAGTAATTGTTCCTTCCTCCCTTTTAAAAACCCCCCCTAACCAAACCCCCCCCAAAAACCTCCTTTTCCCCCTTTTCCAAACCCCTTTTTTAACACCCCACCCCTCCTCTTCCCCTATAATTTATATGCTTTCCAAATTTTTACTTTATATTCTCTTAAAATGACCAACCCCTAAAACCCCTCTTTAAACCCCCTGACTAATTCTTTTATTAATCCAATCCCTTTTTAATTTCCAAACTCCGAATTTTCTGATAATTTTACACCCCTTCCCTTTTAAAAGGAATCCCCGCCTCCCCGTCTCCCCTCTCATTTAAACCCAAGCCCACCTAAAAGGGTTTTCCTTTTTTTTTTACATTTCCTTTTTTTCCCATAGTTTCGTTTTTTGATCACAATCCTCAAAGACCCCTACCTTTTTCCTTTTCAATTCTAAAAATTAACCCCCTCCTTCATAAATCCCCCCCCCCCCTCAACTTTAAATTTAAAAATTCCTTTCCCCTCTTCCTAATTAAATTTTCCTTTTTTTTTTTTAAAACTTTAACCCCCCCCCTTTCTTTTTTTTTTACTTTCAATTTTTCCCTTTAAAAATTTTTCCACTAAACTTTGAATTTTTTTTTAAAAACTCCCATAAAAACTACAAAAAAATTTCAATTTTAATTTTCCCCAAAATTTTTTTCTTATTTTTCCCCCCTTTAAAAATTCCCTTTTTTTAAAAAGTTGCCTCTTTTTGTCTCCCTCTCCCACCCAACCCAATACCCAAAAATTTCTGCTTTCTTTCCCCTTTTTTTGCCCTCTGCCCTTCGTCACCCTCTCGTTTTCAAAACCTTTCTTTTTACCCTTTTTTTTCCTACCCCAATTAAATTTCCCCCTCTCCCCCCTTATAACCCACGTTTTTCCCTTTTTTTTTTAAAATCCTTTTTTCAATTAAAACCCAAAAACCCCTTTTTCCCCCCCCTTTTATCACACCCCCCCCAACCCTTTTTCCCCCTTCATCATTTTTTAAAAAAAACCCAATCCCAAAAAATTTTCCCCCCGTTTTTAATTTTTTCCATCCCCGACGTTTTTCAACTAACCCCAGTATCCTAAAAACATTTTTTTTACCCTTTTTTCCCCCTTCCAATTTTAAAACCCCCCTTTTTTCCTCAAATTTGAAAAATTTTCCCCAATTTCCCCCTTATCTAAATCCCCCCTTTTTTGAAAAAACCCCCGGCCCTTTTTTCACCCAAAATTTTTTTTTTTCTTTTTCTTAATTTCCCCCTTTCAACCCCCTTATTTTTAACCCCTTTAACCCACCCAAACTCTCCCAAATTTCAAAATTTTTTCCACCTTTTTTTTCCTTTTTAAAATTTTTTTCTTAAATCTCCTCAAAAAAGGCCAAACCCAGTAAAAAATTAAATTTTCCCCCGAAAAACAAACTTTGTCCCATCCCCTTTTTTGTATTTAATTTTCCCCATTTAAATTTAAACCCCCCCTTCCGGGGGGGGGGGGGGGGGGGGGGGGGGGGGGGAAAAACCCTAGCATTTACTTCTTTTTCAACCCCATCTATAAATATATTAAACAACCATGTGACATTCACATCCCGTCTAAGACCTTCTTTTACTGGGAAGTAGTCTCCCCCTCTTCTAACACCCCAGCCTGAGCCTCACTATCCTCAAAAAACTCTTTTCAGCATTTGTAAAATTTCCACCTATTCCATATAATTGCAACATTGCCCATTTCTCCCCCATCCCCCCTAAAATCCTTTTAAATCCATAAATGAAAAAAAATTCCCTACCTTTTTAAATACTGTTCACAATATGCTTTAATGTAAACACTTTATTTACAAATCCCCTAACCCCTCTGAAACCCCCTTGCTCACCCCAATCCTCATTCTGTCTTTCCTTTAATTCTTTTTAGTTACATGGACCCCCAGTTAACGATTTTTTTTTTTCCCCAAAATTGTTCAGGGGCCAGTACTGACTGAATTTTTTCCCCTAAGGAAAATTGTGAAATGATTAGTCCCTTTCAGAAACCCCCAAACTACCGTACAAACGCACTTACATAAATACACTTACATAATTGGGCGCATTCGGAGGTAATGTTATGCGGGGGTCCACTGTATTTTTATTATTTTCATCATCATTATTAAATCTAAGCAACCAGGTTATTCAATTCCAGTCGCATTCATACTCATGGACCTTCAGTACTGTCACAAATTATGTATATTTTTCTCCCAATAATTATTGTAAATAAAATAGTTAATTTTAAAATACCATTGCTGTTTTAATATAAAAAATTTTGTTATTAACATATTACATTAATATTCAATGAGCAAACTAGTTTAAATTTTATTAAATTAAAATTCAAATTATCGACTTTATATAACAAACGACAGTGTTAAGTAGTTTAAGTTCTAGTTTTATCTGCCCAAAAGGTTCCTAACAAAAGGGGTTTTTTGGATGTATAAATAAAAAACCTCTTTTTAACAGTTATGAACTGTATAATATTAAAAATTGTTTTTTTTGTTACAACATCTTAACATTAAAAAGCAAAATACTTTATATCGTAAAAACTTTTCGTATTTTTATTTGGTACATGTTACATGAAAAGCCCCAGATCAGGCCCGGCCAAGTTTTCATGTGTATTAAGTGACCTTCATACTGTATGTTTTGCCCAGTATTCATTCATGGAATATCATCTAGCATTGTTTAAATTTGGAATATTCTTTGTTCATTGTAATCTATTTACCAATTTTTTAGAATTTCCTTCATC